CATATTATAACAATTTACTTATAATGTCACGGAAATGAGTAAGGCGGCAACTCGCTAAGTCGAGTACAAAGTCGGCCATCAATATCTATAAAAGCAAACACGACAATCAACACCGCGCTCAGTCATCCAGTAGCTCACCCAATGTCATATTTTTAATAATTTGTAAATTGTATATGTGTCGATTTTTATAAGTAGAAATAAATTCAATTTGCTGTAATTATTTTTACCGACTTGTTCAATCACAAMAYTTTGATATACCTCCCACTATTCTCGTCAGTCGACTTCAACAGTACATTGAATTATACAAGATACAGTTTTCTGCCAGTGGGTTCTTCGGAAGGTAAATACAAATTATACATAACAAATATTCTAATACATTTATTTATTTGGAAAGAAAAAAACTCTCGTACCTATCCCCCGTAATATGTTTTATCAAGTGATGAGCTAAAATTATATAATAATAATTTAACATTTAACATTTAAAATACCTTTCCATACTATCATTTTTTTACTTCATATTTTTAACTCATTACAGTATTAACTTTAAATATAACCAGATTCGAATTACAATATAAATATCACTGTTTTGAACAAATACTATACACTATRTATTATTTTGACATTATTAATTTATTCTGGATAATCATTATACAAAGAACAGTTGTATTAATCAGTAAAAATATATATATATATATGACAGATAACGACCGTATGAACAAAAAACTTTAACTTAAGTTTTTTATAATACTGTCACGACTTCTTCATTTATGTTTGACGAAAAATTAACAAAGTTATTGGTTGGTTTGTTGTACTTTCTTATTAACATCAATAGTTTTTTAAATTCTATTGTTCACGTTTATTTTGAGTTCATTATAGTATTAACTTCATGATATTGTTATTTGAGATAAAGTTTTATAGGAATTTGTTGTAATAACTTTTCGGCAGAGAACTCACGAAAATAAGCAAATAATCACCGTTATTTTGAAAAGAAAGTATATTAAGGAGGTCGTTATCTGGTATAAAATAACAATATCGCGAACAATGTCGATGAATGGAACAATAATTTAAAATAATAGGTCCACTATCGCGTTTAAAGAGTATCTAATCAATATATTGCGGAAAGGATGGACCGAAGCGCACAACCATCACGTCATATTGCAAGAAAAAATACATCGACAGCGTATCTATATCGCAAAATCTGTTAATTATTGTACAACATTGTAATGAGTATCACAATATGAACGTATACGCTTTGTGTTTTTGATGTAATTAGTATATAGTTACATCCATCGCATAAATAYTATGTTGACCGGTAAATGGACGTTAAATCGCATTATTGAGACGACTCATCGTCTCCAGCCGRGGGACGGTGTGCAGAGTACCTATAATGATTAAGGTTTTCCGGTTATTTCCGGTCTGACCGTATAATATAATATCCAATTGTAATATAATTACGAATTTAATGTATTAAAATAGRTACGGCGGTGTATAATATTTATAACGACAGGCGTCCGGAAGTCTGCGGCAAAGGCGAACCCCAAGATCGGATACGGTCGGGACGTATAGATATTTAAGACGATGTTTAGTTTAGCGTAATATTTGACGGCGGCGGTGGAGTAAAACTTTATGAGGAAATATAGCGAATGTATATATATATATAAAATATATGTATAAACAATATGAAAGAATATACGTCGACGACAATTGTCCAGTTTCTCACGAGGCCTCCATTTATGTGTGTGTGTGTGTGTACAATATATATATATATATCATAGTCGTCAAGTTTACAGGAGCACAGTGGTCAAAAGCTGTGTTCGTTTGAAGGGGGKAGGTAGGATACGGGGCAAAATTAAACAAACATCACAAGCGCACACCCATTAAATATAATATACATATGCTATACAGGGAGAATTTTTCTTTCGAAAAACGGTAATTTTCTCGATAACTTTTTCAAAATAATTTTTATTTAAGTCAACAACATTTTTTTTTATTCTTTTTTTACATTTTTAAATGATAAAATCCATTTTAGTTAAAGTTAAAACTAAAGAATTTTCGTGGATACAAATTGAATTTCTAATCTGTAGTAGATAGTWAGTTAATAGTTTGTATTAAACAATCGAACACGAAGATGAGTTTAATTATAAATAATTAAGCTATGGTATTCTATTATTTTCTCGTTAGTTTACGTTATTCCAATAAAAAAAAAAAATAAATCGGMTGAGGTCGTTTCTGGAAGAAAAAATAAAGTACATAATGCTGTAAAGCTGTATGAGTGAATTGGAATTTTCTTATTGTTAAAATTATCATGCACAGAGCATAATATAATGAGAATTTAA